AGTTCAAATTTGATTTTATTTTTGAGTTTTGGAGTAAATGGCTTGTGTTTGCTTTATATGACCGAACATTTTCATCTGCTCTTCAGCTCATTGGAGAATATTTTTCTGCATCCACTCATGGTTGGGTAAATTTGAATTTGTGTTCTGTGAAGGAATAGCCTCGCCTCCCATTCCTTATGTTCTCGGCTTCCTTGTCTTCGACACGTATCTGTAATAGCTTTACTATTATTTTCACTCATTTCTTATTCTCCTTTTATTTTCTTAAATTAAATGAATCTTGCCTTAAAGCAGTGGCACCCATACTTTCCCTGTTTACCATGAATGACACTTAGCCTCTTTCTGTAGCATCCTCCAGTCTCCGTGTCAGTAAGCAGTTACATCATGGGAATAAGGACGTGCAAGTCTAAATAGTGCAGGTGGCATATACTTAGCTTTGGAAGCACCAATCGAATATTCTCCAAGTGAGACTCAGAGGAAGGACCCTTGCCCTTGAAGACTGAAGGATGAATTTTAAAATGTGAAAATGGGAGGCAGTGGGAAAGGCCAAAAGGAAGATAAGTGGAGTGAGCCAGAACCCCCAGACAGAAATGCAGCAGTGACTCTCAATAGTGAGGCAATCAGAAAATTTCTGATTTGTTAATGTGGGGGGTGGGAAGGGGAAAGGAAGAGAGGAGGGGAGAGTGGGAGAAAACTAGTGTGTGTGTGTGTGTGTGTGTGTGTGTGTGTGTGTGTGCTGGCTGGTTTTATGTGTCAAGTTGACACAAGCTAGAGTCTCAGAGGAGAAGGATCCTCTGTTGAGGCAATGCCTCCATGAGATTCAGCTGTAAGGCATTTTATCAATGGGGGAAGGCCCAGCTCATTGTGGATGGTGCCATCCCTGGGCTGGTGGTCCTGAGTTCTATAAGAAAGCAGGCTGAACAAGCCAGGGGAAGAAAGCCAATAATCAGCTCCCATCCACAGCACCTGCATCAGCTCCTGTCTCTGGGTTCCAGCCCTGCTTGAGTTCCTGTCCTGACTTCCTTCAATGATGGCTGTGTAAGCCAAATAAATCCTTTCCTCCCCAACTTGAGTTTTGGTCATGGTGTTTCATCACAGCAGTAGTAACCCTAACTAAGACAGTGAGAGAGAAAGAGGGTAATTAAAATCAGATTTAACAATAAACTGTGACTATTGGCCTGGAAGTCTGGAGAAAATGGACAGAGCCTAACCTCAATCCATGATATTGCTAGACATTAGCACTTATACTTTTTAAGTTGACCCCCCTTTCCCTTAAACTTTGGGATTAAAAATAGATAAGATCTCCTTTTTAATTAATTAATTAGATTTTTATACTTTAAACATTTTGTTGTGGTACACAGGTGGTTTTTTTCCCTGTGTATGTATTTGTACCACGTGCATGCTTGGTGCATGCAGAGGCCAGATAAGCACATGGAATTTCCTAGAACTGGAGTTACAAATGGTTGAGAACCACCATATTGGTTCTGTGAATCTAACCTGAAAGGGCAGCCAGTGTTCTTGATAAACTCTGGCATAATGTTTCTTTTAACAACTTTTAGTGAGTCTGGTGTTTGGACAAAGCTAGCAACCTTGAAGTTTCTAGGGATTCTGATTTTTGTATGTACTTCATGTTTACCCAACCAAAGGAACAAGAGCCATACCAAGTAAACAGTCTCCAGGGTAAATGACAGGGTTCTCTGGGGCTGATATTGTCATTGGCATTTATTGCTTGTAGCTTTGGGAAAGTTGTTCAACCTGAACATCTCAGTTTCCTCCTTGGCCGCGTGGGCTGATATGATAGGGTCTTCTTGGAAGTCTGCAGTATGTGCTTAGACCTGTTCCTGAGACCAACACTATCAAAGAACAAGATCAGTTTCATATTTACTGAGACAACTTGTATCGTCAGCCATAGACAACAGCAATGGTAGACCTGTACCTTCAGTATTAGTCAAGTTGTTTCTGATTCTGCCTTTGGCAAGTTGGAGACACTTGGCAGAAAAGATGTTTCATTACAGTGAGCAGGTCAAGAAGCCACTAAGGGAAGCCATGAGTTTGATTAAGTGCTTAGTTAGAAGGAACTTTGTGGTTGAAGTTCTTGTATATCTTTTTCCCAGAATGTTGGATTCTTCCACCAAGGAGATTCTGTGTTATCTATCTTTCATGTAGGATGTTCTTTTTAAAAAAGGAAAAAAGACATCTTAAGCTTCTTTTTTGGTGCAAAATATAAAATATTTTCATTAATATCTTAGCTTTCATTCAGGGTCTGGTGACTGAAGAGGGATTTGTCACTTTCAAATAATTATATTTAAAAATCTCTGTTCCTCTGTCTATGTGAACAAAATCTCATCCACAAAATACCAGGATTAAGTTCTCTTCTAACTAGTGCCAATAACCTTGGTCTTTTACTTGACATCTCTGCCTCACTATCCTCCCTGAGGATATGCACCCAAGCTACTCTAAGATGCTTTCTAATCAAAACTGCAGTGCAGAGAGGATTGCTTCCCATAAGGCACACGGGAAACCAACCTAGCTTTTCTCCAGGATTATTTGGGGACCTTTCCTTAAAATAGTTTATTACATTTAAGGTGTGTGTATGTGTGTGTGTGTGTGTGTGTGTGTGTGTGTGTGTGTGTGTGTGTGCGCATACACATGTCTCAGTACATATGTGGAGGTCAGAAGACAACTTGCAGAAGTCAGTTCTTTCCTTTGACTATCTAGGCTCTGGAGGTCAAGTTTAGGTTGTCAGACTTAGTGACAAGCTCCTATATCCACTGGGCCATCTTGCCAATCCTATGAGGAACTGTGTATTCTGTTCTCTTACCTTCTGAAGACCAAAACTGAATATCCCATTAATAAAGGCTACATTTCCTTCTATTACTCTTAATGGCATAAGGGTGTGCTTTCCTCCCACCGGTACCAGTGGTACGCTTAGCCAAAATATTTACTTAAGGAGGAAACAGATCATGTTGCTGGGTGTTAGTTTTTCAGTGACCTCTTTTGTCAATTTGTTAGTAAGTTAGTCATAATTCTATATGTCACACCCTTACTGACACATTTTATATAAAATGAATAAATTTACAAGATGGCCTATGTGATGTCTGTTCAGAGGAAGGTATGTGCTTTCCCAACAGGCCTCACACCTTTTCAAGAAGATGGAATTAACTCGTTACCTTTGACTGCTTCATAAAAGTTGGGCTGACTGGGGTTTGTATATTTATTGTCACATAGGTTGGGACTCTACCTCAAAGTCCATTAGGAAAGCATTTGACAAATTTGAGAGGTGGCAAGAAGCCAGTGTGCCTGGAATGTAATGGGCTGGTAGAAGGAGTAACAAGAGATGAGAGGAAACAGATCACAAAAAGCCTTTGGGCTTCAGTCCTTTGTGTGTATGTGTGTGTGTGTGTGTGTGTGTGTGTGTGTGTGTGTGTGTGTGTGTGTATGTGTTTGCACCTGTGCACTCTAGCCCATAATTGTGTGGTAGGGGTAAAGGCACAAGATGTCTGGTGATTCTTCAATTGATCTTAACCACGTTTTTTTGGGGACAGGGCTTCTCATTGAACCTAACCCATTTCAGCCAGACTGGCTAGTGAGTGTTGAATTCCACCTGTCACCTTGCTCTGGCCCAACTCCTCAGTTACAGATGCATGCTGTCATAGAAAGCTTTTTTTGGGTACTGAGTATCTGAACTCAAGTTTTCATGTTTGTGCTGAAAGCACTTTAGATATGGAGCCGCCTCCCTAGCCCCTACAGATAGCAGTCTTCATTCCAAGTTCTGTGAAAAGCCAGGAGTGAGGTACGGTTTGGTTCACATCTTCAACAGATCGCTCAGACTGTCGTGAGGAGACACAGTATGAAGAGAAAAAACGCATCCTCTAGGAAGGAGGATGTAGGGTACTAGAAATATGGTGGTGGCCCAGATTATAGCAGTGATTGTTGGGGATAGCAACAAGTGATTTGATCTTTGGTGTGGTCTAGATAGAGAGCACAGCATTGCCACTGGAGCACAGTCCTCACGGGGCTGCAGTGTGGCTAACCATCACCCTCAAGAGCCAAGCTCCTCTCTTGGTGGGGCTTTACTTCGGACTTTCCTCATCCATGTTCAAATTGGAACCCCAGCTTTCCTGCCTAAATCATGATACCAAATTAGAAGAATAGTCTGTCTCTTGCTGTATGGACTTGTAACCATGAACACATTTGTAAAGAGCTGGTTTGGCCCACAAAAGTGCATGGTCACAGCATTTTGCTTTGTAGATCTCTACAGTGTGAATGTTTCTGTGTACAGCACGCATAGCATGAATGTTAGCTGTTCTCCTGAAAGTGGAGTTGTCTCCTGTGCTTCCAGCTCAGCCAGTAGGATGGTGGTTTTAATATCTGGCTGCAGCTCCTGTGTACACTGGGGTCATATTTTTGGGATAAATATCATTTAGATGGAAAGTGGATTAAAAGTTTATTTTTGTCCCACTCTCAGCCTCAGTTCTTCTAAGAACTCTCTTTCAAATGACAAATAGTCTTGGCTTTCTTGGTCGATCAAGAGACTACAAACGGCCTGAATTCATTGGTTTCTTGTTCTTTCTCTCTCTGTTTTCTTTTTTAAAACAGAGTTAAAAATAGAGTTTTGTGATCTCAGATAGAAGTTTCTTTTATAACCTCCCTTAACACATCTGTGTTGTTCTCCATGGGGCATGAACTTTCAGCTCCTTGAAGACAATCACCTGACCCATTCTTTATCTGGCGCTCACATGCCTCTTCACCCTTTAACCCTGCCCTGGCTGCTTAATTTGGCATTTTCCATGATCCAGCCTGCATTGAAGGGAAGGAATCCCGTTTTACCCCCATCCTGGCCATATCTGGACACGATATCTAACAGCTCTCTTTCCTGTGCATACGTGATGTGACGTCTTTGGTTGGAGGGTGGCTGCTGGCTGGGATTCAGGTGATGCATGCTTGAATTTTCTGACTAATTTTGTGCTCCTTTGTAACTGACTTCTCTTGTGATCTTCCAGAATACCAGGCTGCTATCTTACATCTGAAGAGGGAGCACAAAGAAGAAATTGAAAACTTGCAGGTATATCTCCTTGATTCTACCAATCTGGCCTTCTGATGGTTATTTTTCTTCTGTGTGGAAGATTCCTCTCGTGTGGGGAGTATTTAACCAGATAGTAGCTGCAGCTCCCAGCTGCCATTGGGCACCAACCTTATTCCAGGCTGAAAGCCTTGGATGTGGTACTTTATAAACTCTGGTTTCTAACATTGAAAAAAAAATCACTGTAAATGCCTTTGGCTTTGGCTGGAAGAGTGACTCTGTGTCTTTAAACCCGGAAACAAGAGAGTATTCAGACTTTTACTGCTCGTGGGAAATGTTTTAAAACTTGATGTTGCTATACACCCTGTAGTTCATTTCTGCTCCACTCACTCCTCTGCTGCCTCTTAGCTCCACCCTGCGGTTATGATATCATGCAGATGAAGAGTGTGCTGAGTCATTCTGTGTCCTTAGGGCGTGCTGAAAGGGGCCAGTGCGTCCTCCTCTGTTTGCCATCTAATTGTCAGTCTCTAGGTTTGGCATTTGCTTACAAGGCAGGTGGCAGGAAGTCCAGAGTCTTAATTTCAAGCTGCTGGATAGTGAATCAGACCTTGAGTCTAGGCCATTAGTGGGTGGGGTAAGCCATATGTATTATCAGGGAATTGTGGCAAATTTTAAATAAAACTGTTGTTCCCTTAATTTGAACTCATTATTTGCAACTTTACTCAGTTTGTGGAGCTAAAAAAAATCCTTCCTTTTAAATTTCATTGATAAATAGAAATTATAATTTATAGTGCATGGCATGTTTGGAAACTAAGCATTCTGGAGTGACCTAACTGAGTTTAATTCATAAATGAAGTTATAGATTAATGTTCTTCCTACTCATTTTTGTTGACAACTAGAAGTTGAGTATAATTTATGGTATACAACGTGTTTTGAATATCATACTTATACATTGTAGCATGACTGATAGGGGTTCATTCACTTATTACGTCATGCACTTAATGGATTTTTTTAGTAAGTATACTCCAGTCTGTTAGCAATGTTCAGGTAGGTAATAATTGCTACTAGAATGGCCACTACAACCAATCACTTCAACTTACTTCTCATATCTTACTGAAACTTTATATCCTTTTATCAACCTCTACTTAATTATTTCCGTATCTATCAGCCCCAGCTCCTAATAACCATAATTTGACTCTATTTCTGTGACTTCAATTTTATTTTTTGGTTTTTCAAGACAGGGTTTCTCTGTAGGTTTGGAGACTGTCCTGGAACTCTCTTTGAAGACCAAGCTGGCCTTGAACTCACTGAGATCTGCCTGCCTCTGTCTTCCAAGAGCTGGGATTAAAGGTGTACACCACCACTACCCTGCGACTTCAACCTTCTTAAATCCAACATAAGTGAGATCACACAGTATTTATCTTTCTGTGCCTGGTTTATGTTTCTTCACATCTTTCAATCATCCATGTTACTAAAAATGACAGGCTTTCCTCTTTCTTTAAGGCTGAATAATATTCCATTGTGTATGTGCATAGTCCACATTTTCTTTCTCCTTTATTCTTTCACAGATACCCAGATTGATTCTGTATCTTGCCTTTTGTGAACAATATTGTAGTGGGCATAGGACTGCATCTATATCTTCCTTTTGGAACATACGTAGTCATAGAGTTTCTCAATCATATGGCGGCTCAATACTTAGTAACTCCACTAGCTGACATTCCCATGAAAGGAGTTAATGGCTCTCTTTTCACCATGTCCTGGCCAGCACTTGTTGTCCTCCATGTTTTTTTGGTAGCAGCCATTAGGACAAGTGAGAATTGATACCCATTGTGATTTTAACTTGCACTCCCCTGGTAATTAGTGATGCTGAACATATTTCCATATACTTGATGGCCATTTTGTGTGTACTTTTGGGAAACAGCTACACCATTTCTTGTTCACTAAAATCGGCTTGTTTTCCTGTTATGAGGTTATCTGCATTCCTTGTATATTTTGTTTATTAACTGCTTATTAAAGTTGCATAAATTCCTCCTTTCAATTTCCTATAATATGTTTTCAATGCAGTTGAAGGGTTAGGTTAGCAAGGTATCTGGGAGGTAACCAAGTAGCCACCTAGTTGAGTCCCAGGGTCCACATGATAGAAAGGGAAAAGTGACTCCTATGTGTTGTCCTCTGATCTTCACAGACATGCCATACCATGAGTGCATATATGCATGTTCATGTGTACACCCACCCCCCCCCACAAAATAGTAAATAAATAAATATTAAGAAAGCAAGTCATTAAAAAAAAAGGGCTAGACACTCTACTTGGTTATACATGAAATCATGGCAAATAGCCAAACACATAAGTAGCTAGTATACAGAATCATTTCACACCCACTCACACTGGTACACATGGTTTGCAAGAGGGAATGAGTTAATGTAACAAAGAAGCAAAGTGGAAAAGTGCATCTCACTCCCAGGGAAAAAGGACAGATGGAGGCCCTCATTTCCCTGTAAAATAATCTCACTTCCTTTTTCCTTGTGGTGGAATGAAGAAGGTCCTGAGCTGCCCAAGAGGATTTGGAGTTGATGGTAGATAATCACAGCATTTGTCTTGCAGTGGGAGTGCATGGCAGAAATGGCCTGTTGATTTCACTGAGTGTGAGAAGCAAAGAGAGAGACAGGAAGGGCCCAGCATCTCACAGAGCCTTTCAAAGGCACACTCCTTAGTGTTCTCACTTCGTTCCACTAGGTTCTCCTTCCTGATGGTCCTGTCAGCTGCCTGTTGTCCTATAGGCTCAACCAAACTTACAACAAATGGACTTTGAGGGAACATTGGACATCCAAACTAACAACTAGAGATGGGAAAGTGAGAAGTAAATGACAGGGGAAAAATGTAGTGTGAAGCTGATTCCTGTTTAAGATATGAATTAGATTATGATATGATTAGCATTACTCAATCTTAACAAATTTCCATACTTGTACTTTATAGATTTTTGAGAGTTAATTTCTTAAATCATTATCTGTTCTTTTGATGCTATTGGTGAAGTTAACATTTTCTTGCCCTAAATATATTGTTTATGCCAAGTTATGAAAACTCTGTGGCACGCTACTGCTATGTGGGCAGCAGTCCCAGTTTCTATAGTTGAATATTTCTTGAAACATGCTGCAGTCACAGCCAGCGGTCTGTGGTTTGCCCCCCCCCCAAGAAGCATGTTGTTTCAAATATAGCACTTTAAAGATTTGAAATAGGAATACACATTTTAAACATAGATATTTATGTGTAAGAAATGGAATTCTAACATTTTGTTTAAATACATTAGAAAATTTGGCAGTAATGGTGTTCCATGTAGCTTCAAACTGCTCAACATAGTAGCTAGTATCCACTTCACCTGTATTTCTCTGTCCATCACTGTCTGCCCTTGGTGGTTCATCTACTTGACTCCTGTGCGCTTTAATTCGCTCCCATTTCTGAATGATAATGCAAACAAAGTGCGATGAATAGTTTGGCAACAACAGCAACCAGTCAGAGTAGACACCATTTATAATATACACAGACCAAAACTCAGCTTGGCTGTACTTCTCTCTGAATATCACCCCTACCTATGGCATTCTTCCATGAAAGCAAATCCTGCTGGACTGGTGGTTGGGAGGACCAATGCTTTGGTGCTCATGGCTTTATGCGTGATGCCCCTGGCAGCCTTCAATTATGTTTTCTTTTTCGTTGACAGGGCACGGAGAAGTCAGGGGTTTCAGGGCTTCCTGAGCCCGCCTTCCTGTACTGGTTTGGACCACAGAGGATCAGTTGTTCAGTTTTCCCTCCAGCATTGTGTAGAGTGCTCTATTGGGAGATTGGCCTTTGCAGCCTGTCACATGACGCCAGTGGGTGGAGGAGCACAGAGATTTTAGCCCCATCTGCAACTGTTGCTGCACTTGACAGTTGTGGAGTAGTGTGAGAACCAGACTTGGTCTGCAGACTAGCTTTTCAAATATGTACTCTTCCATACCTAAGGCTTTTTATTGGTGTCTTAAATGACTCAGATATTGCTGCCCTGTGCTCATCCACTACTGTGCAAATGCAAACATTTGGCTGACATTTCAAATCACCAGGGAAGGAAATTGTAGCAGGTCAAGACATTTTCTGTGATGTTATTATTTCATGTAATTTATAATTTTACCATAGGAAGGTTCATTTATCTCCCTAACACCACCACTCAAATATGTGTTTCTTTTGGTGTATCCCATCTTCAAAGTCACTCCATGATACTCATTATTGTGTAGTTCAGCTTTTGATAATCAGCTTTCTTTAGGGAAAGACAACCTTCCCTTTTGTGTTTCCTTTGAGCTTCTTGCCTGAGAAGCTTCTGTGTAGAGTTTGTAGGAAGCATTGCTTAGCAAGTTCAGACCTCTTCAGGCATTTGATAAAACTCATTCTCTCACAGCACAGTAGCTATTTCTTTAAGGTTGCTTAGGAGCCAGGATTTGAAAATCGCCATCACAAACTTTCATAGCTGATCTATGTCTTATCTCTGTTTGAGGACTGGGAGAGGTGTTTGTGCTGGATGGTAGTGTGAGAGAACTTGACTGCCTTTGCCATCCAGGCTCCAGTTTCTTGTGCAATGGCCATAGGAAATAGGTAACTTCTCTGAGACTTAGTTTCCTCGGTCTCAGCAACTGTACATTATCAATCATGTTGGCAGTGAAGCTAATATCACCACTCCACTGGAGGGATATTGAGTAGGACACACCCTGATGACATCGGTTCTGTAGTACAGCTGCTTCTCATTCTGTCTTCCTTGGGTTAAGTCTCTTTATAATTAGACGAATTGAGCTTCGAGTGCTTTTTGAGTTTTGTTGTTGTGAGTATTTCTTTGGGACATTGACTTACTCTTTGAATGTAACTTACCTTGCTTCCAGTCCATTCTCATGTCCTGGTGCTTAGTATCAGGATGGTCTAAACTCTCAGAGCATCTTCAGTTTTTTTACTCATGACCTCATTTCATCCTAGAATATTTTCATGCAATCCTGTTGCTGTGTGTCGCTTTGCTGTTGCTGTGATA